CATCCAAGTCCCACTCAGTTGGAGAAAGCACTGTTAAGTCCTTGATAAATACCCCTCTCTAACTGCTTTAGTTTATATTTATATTTAACAAAAATAGGATCCAACTCTACATAGTATTCTATAGTGACTTTTAAATTTGATAATATTGTGCTTTTTATGCCAATAAATACATCTCTACAATTAAATTTTTAACAGTTGCATTTTATTTCAGTAGGCTGATGTAGCTATAATTTTCTGAACTGATCTATTGGAATTTAGGTTGTTTACAACTTTTTGCTCCTTGAAATGATGCCTCAGTAAATATCATTGAAGATAAATTTGTGTGGATTAGGAATGAATTTTAGGAAGAATTCTCAGAAGGAGAATGGCTAGAACAAAGAGTAGACATGTTTAATCATTATTTTTGTTACCTACAAAAGCAATATATTTATGAGTTTGGTAAATATTCCTCTATATGTATGCATTTGCTAGCATATAAATGCTTATTATCATTTTTTAAATGTGATCATATGACACATTTTATTCTTGACTTAGTTTTTGCACTTGACAGTATAGCCTAGACATATTTCTATGTCATTACATGTTAGTTTACCCCATTCACAAAATTCTGTATAGTATTCCATTGTACAGCTACTTTGTGATTTTTAGAAATCATTCCCCTATTGATGGTCGTCACATCTCTCCTCTTCATCAGGAAAGCTCAAGCTTATTTTTAGCTCGTCATATGTCTTATCAGCCAGAACTGTGTCACATGGCTACCCTAGGGGCTAGGGAGGCTGAGAAAGCAGTACATCCCTGGGGATGCACAGATTGCTGAATGGGACAAAGTCAAGTTCTCTTAGCAAGGAAAAAGAAGATGATGTTAACTCCCTGTGCAACCTTTATGAACGGGCATTTGAGTTCTTATGATGCCAAATACCATGTATCAGGGTTCCTTGGCTGCAAGCAACAGAAGTAGATTCTGCCTTATGTAAGCAATAAATAAATAAATAAGGGGAAGGGGAGAGGGTAGTTCACAAACTAGTTGAACAACTGGGCCTTGGGAAGGACTGGAATAGAGCATTTCCATGGATTTCAGGGCAGTTTCTTTAGGATTCATCACTAGACTAAGATCTCTCAAATCTCCCTGTTTTCTTTGTGTGTCTCCATTCAAAGTTTACATTCTTACAGAGAGTTCTAATTGGTCTAGTTTTCACATGCCCACTTTGGCAGGGCTGGGACTGGTGTTGTCTGGAATCACAGGGCAGGAGGAATCCCCAAACCCAAAGAAAGAAAGGCTGGGTAAAGCATTTTTGTGGTTTTGTGATAGGGATTTTTTATTTCCTTTATCACATATTAAATAGGCTATTATAAATATGAAGGTTAATTTTTGCAAATTAATATTGCAACCAGCCATCTAACAGAATTCTCACATTTTAATTTTAATGGTTTTTGAAAATTAAAGATTTATTATTAAATGTTTAATTTTCATTGAAATTAGTTCAGGGAGGGATTTAATATAAGTTGAATGCTATGAGTGTATTTAGTACAGGAACTGGACCTTCTCAGGGGAGTCAGTGAAGGCTTCCTGAGATGGAGGCATTTCAGCTGACATCTGAAAGATGAGTAGGAATTTGGTAAGCAAAATGTTGGGGATGGGTTGGGAGAACAGTTTGCGTGAAGACCCTGAGACCAGACCAAAAGGAACAAAAGTGCAGAGCTCAGGGAAAGGCACCCAGAGGAGGCTGAAATTTAAGAAATACAATTATTGACATCTTTTCGTAGACAAAAAAAAAAAAATTTGTCTTACAATCCTATTGAAAAATTCTTACAGTGAAGTAAAACAAGAAACAATAATGTAAGAACCACAGTAATGTATCACATTTGATCAGTTATGTGATCACATGCTAAGTTCTTTACATTTGTTTTCAGAATGTGGTCGAACTATTCCTGGAGCAACCAAAGGGGCAAAAATGATGAGATTGTATATAGACAGTGCAGCCCCAGAGAAACTAAAAGGACTGTGTGTATTTTTTGTTCGTTGTCGTAATGATGTTGCTGTAAATGCTAAAAGTATTCATGAGGTATGTTTAAATTTTTCTTCCAAATGTATAGTTAGATATTGAATGTATTTTCGTAGTCACACTTTTGCTTTACTTTGCTTTCACTTTTTAAATATAGGACTGAATTGAGTTACAAGAAAGTAATATATTCATATATTCAAAGAAACTGAGAAGTTAGCTATAATAGAGCTTAGTTACATTTATCCTTTAGATACTGCTTTTAAAGTTGATGAAAATTTCTTTTCTTCTAGATGATGTTCAAATAATTTCCATCCTTCCATTCACTAGGAACACATTTAATTTTCTTCATACAATTTTAAATATTAGTTATTTAATCCCCTATTCATTCAATATTTTAACTCTACTAGTTTTAGAAGAAGAAGGAAGAATT